CCCCAGGGCTCATCCATGGACTACCTGATGAAGGTCTACCTCACACACCTGCCCATGGGCGACAGGGTGAGCGCCGTCACAGCCCAATGTGGCCGCTGGTCACAGCCCTACCTAGGGGTCATTGGGGGGTGGGCAGGCAGGCAGCAGGGGCGCGCGCGGCCGCAGCAACCGCCGTTCAAGCGGCGACGCGCCCCGCGCGACTCCTGCGTGGGAATTTCCGCGCCTATGCGCTTCGCCACTCCCGCTGCGGTCCGCACACGCGCGGGTTTGGCTGTTGTGTGAAACTCGGCAGATTGGTGCGACACGGGCCTTGTGTGCAGCACCTTGATCTCGCCTGCCTTTTTCCCCTCACCCTGCCGCGCATCCCCATCACCCTCTGAACCCCAGTCGAGGCCGCAGCTGGTGGAGGGGGAACGCTATACGCCCTCAAAGCGCCACGCAGCGGACACCGCGGGTCCTGGCAGCAGCGGCGCAGCCGGCGAGCAGCAGCAGCAGCGGCAGCAGCACCAGCAGCAGCAGCGGTGATGGTTGGAGTGGCTGTTTGCGTGCGTGCCGAGCACGGTCATGCACTTTTGGCCACGCTAGGCAGTCGCAGGATGTGCCAGGCCGGTCTGGGTCACTCTGCCTGTAATTTGAGCCCATAGGGTTGACAGCAGGGGCGTGCAGAGTGACTTGCAGGGTTGTCTGTCCAGCGCATGTCTGCACATGTAACTCAACGCCTACGCGCTGCCGTGTCAATGGCGGGCCCTCGCATGATCGAGCAGTGGTGCATGCGGCATAGACGCCTGTGCAAAGGGGACACGCGAGCACAAATCTGCTCTGCAGGTATTACCTGCCCTTGGTTTTACCAAAGGCTGCAGTGGCATGAGGGTCGGCCCACTACATGCCCGATGCGGACATCGCCGGGCCGGTGCACATGTAGTGCCCAGATGTCGCGACGCGCGGTCCGCATGCATGCATACGCGCGCTCCTGCTCATCACACTGTTTGTGGCGGTCCGGCATTCACAACGATGGATGTTACATGTGTGAGCAGCACATCTGCCTGGAGGAGCGGGGCGGGTGCTGTGGCATTGGACGCATCTCATGGCAAGGCATGTGGAGGGACACGATTACAGCAAAACCGGGTGCGCAACTTCAAACATCAACACCAGGCAGACGTCGGCAGAGTTGCATGCGCGGATGAAGGTTGGCAGCCAGCGGCTGACCACCTGGGTGTTTTCATGGAGGCTGTTGTTGTCAAGGAGTGGTGGGGATCATCATATCAGCCCTCCGTGCAAGGCCGCAGCTTCGCAAACTAGCTTCAAGATGAGGTAGGATCGAGCACTTCTCTCACGGGTTGCGCGCGCAAGAGCAGTATGGCACAGCAGTGCAGCGACCACTACTCAGCGACCACTACGCAGCACAGCATCCTTCGGGTTCTGTGGCCCATCGCATTTTGCACGAGGTCTGCATGTGTGGGCCCAACACGTCGGCTATGCGACCTGACGCACTGGCACAGTGCAAAAGCGCGCGCGAGCAAGCAGCACAACAGCGTGGAGTTGCAGCCACTCGGCTGGGAAAGACACACGAGGCCATCGGAGCGCGCAGTGTGTGCGCATGCACGTCGCCCTTTGCAGTCGGCACAGACCTGCTTCGCAGGGGGCAATGTCAAAGTGCTGGGAATGTCGGTGCAGCAGCACTGCTGCTCCAACCATTCTAGTCAAGCCCTCGCAAGCAGTGAGGGTTCTGAGGGTTCGGCAGAGCGATGGCTGCACGCGCAACGGTTGTGATGACGAGTTCAGTGGGGGCAGCAAAGGCAGCGAGGAGGCGCTGCCGTGCTGGCGTGTGCAATCTGCAATTCTTTTGTGACAGCTGGGCTCAAGCTTGTGCAGGGCTCATGACAAACATTCATGCAGGCTAGTCCTGGCAAGCAGGCAGATGTACACACAGACAAGCAGATAGGGGGGAAATCATCGCGCATGACTGATCCCTGGAGTGAGCGACAGCAGGGCTTTGAGACGGCAGCGCAGGCAGCCTGGATGAAAAGATGGGCGTGCAACACCGCATCAGGGGGGATTGGGCGTCGTATGTGACGCTGGGGTGGCGCACAAAGGGGGCGTGTGAGCAACATACAAGCAACAACTTGTTGAGCGCGCCGGCGCGAGCAGTATGAGGAATCGTCGGCTGCGCGTGCCTGTGAAATGTGCATGCGGCCATAGCGCTCCAGCGCTTGTAGGTCTATCTAGTGCATGCTTGCTGCACATGCAAGTGTGAGCAAGCCGTGGCCTCAACGGCTTTGTCAGGCCTCCAGCCATGATGCTGTACAGTTGGGACATGCGCAGGAGCCGTGTACACAATCGGGCGGCCACACCCGCAACTTTGACCGCCGCACGGCTCTAAAACCGCAAGGAAGACCGGCCGAAGTAGATCTATGTGTACATGCCTGGGCCGCGCTGCAGCTTGCCAGCAACCATACCAAAGGTGGGGTTTGCAACTTGAGGCTGCATGCGGACGGGTGCATCTGGAAGGGAGCCATAGCTAGCCCATAAACAGAGCATCAAGCACCAGTTGATGACCGCAACCAAGGCGCCCTAATTCAATCAGCACCTGGCAGATTATTCCCGGACAAAGGTGTGCCCCTATCACCATTCACTGATGCACGCGGCACAAGCGGTCGTGCGCCGCGCTGCCGCGAACCCTGTTTTGTTGTTTGATTTGCGCCCAGGTGGATGCGCCGCCAGCCCGTTGAGTTGCTGCTGCTGGCGCCTGCTCGAGCTGCACCCCTGGCCACCGCCCGGCGGCCTGGTGACCAGCCTGCTAGCTGCCGTCTGGTCTACAGGTACTCCTCTGGGCGCCATGGGAGAAGCAGGCTACACCCGCCGCGCCACCCTGCCTGCTCGACGGGTGGCAAATCGTCGACTGGCGGGCAGTCTAGTTGGCGACGACCACGGCCCAGAGCTCGCCGAAAAAAATGGCCGTCATCAAGACCTGCGGCGCCCCCGCCCTCCAGGGCGCCCTCCCCGCCAGCCTACCCGTCAGCGCGAGGCTGGCCGCGAGCGACGCGAGCAGCGTCGCGCCCTGCGCGAACGCGACGGCGCCGGGGCTGGCCGCGGCGGCGGGCAGCGCGGGCGCGGCGGCGGACAGGCCAAGTAGGTGGGCGGTGGCGGGGAGGATGGTGCCGGCCTCGCGCATCAGGTTGTCCTCGTAGGTCGCCAGCACGCCGCCCCAAACCAGGGGGAGGTATCCATAAGCCATCCGCAGGAACGGCGGCGCCACAGCGGGCGCGTCGTCGGCGGGCGAGTCGCCGGCGGCCACGGCGGGCCCGGCAGCCGCGGCCGCGGCGCGGCCGGCGGCGTCGGCGGCCCAGGCGAGGAGGCCGGGCGCGGCGAGGACCGCGAGGGAGGCGGCGATGTGGGCGGGGCGCGCGGCAAAGACGGCGGGGTCCAGGCCGAGCTGGTGGGCGAGGGCGGGGAGCCTGCATGGGGTGCGTTTTGGGGGTTGGGAGCAACAGATGAACAAGGCGCGGGGATAGGGCACAAAGGCGGCATGAGACAAACGGCCGAAGGCGGCGAGCCTTCTGGCATCATTGGCAGCGCGCCAACATGTTGAGCGCGACTGCAGAATCAGCAGGCCGGGCGGCGACATGGGTGGGCGGAGACCATTCGCCTGAGCGTGTGCACTTGGCCGTGCATGTTGGTCACCTGTGGAGGTACGCCGACCCGAGCAGCATGAACATGACGCAGGCCTCGTGGGCGGAGGGCACATGGGTTGTCCACCTGCGCGCGGGGCAGCAGGACGCTTGTCAGGCGAGGGCCTGGCTGCGGGAGACGCCGCGGCCGCAGCGCTGGGGGCTTGCTTGCACACCCAAAGCGTGTGCAGCAAGTGAAGCCAAAAATGGACGAGTGTACGGGCACAGTGCATCCTGCTAACCGACCCGCCCTCAATCTCATGCATGTGTCACACGCCGGTGCTCAGGTGAGAGGTGTGGGCACAAGAGGGGCATTAATTGTCTTATGGTGGGTGAGCTTTCTTGGAGGCACGACACCACCCTGCCGCTGCGGCTGCGCGCATTGCACCCTTGCGCTTGTTTCAACTCACAGGTCGCTCCCAGGGGGCCTCAGCCGCAGCTGGACAGAGCCGTTGGGGCAGGCCTGGGGCAAGAGGCACACGGGAGGGGCATGCCAGAACCAATGAGCAAGAGGACACTGCCGATACCAATTCGCACCAAGCCCAGGCAGCGGGCACGTGGACGCTCGTCCGCAGCTAGGCTGGTAGAAACGAAGGTATTCCGTTGGTGCAAATGCAACAGGCTCGCTCGTGCTTCACGGGAAGCTTCCTGCGCCGGCAAGGCTGCTGCTGTGTGCTGCAGATGGGCTTCGGATGCCAGAGGTTGTCTGTCACTGCTGGTGACACGCCTCTGCAAGCACGTGTGCGATTCATGCTTTTGCATCCTCACACCTTGAGGCAGCTCATGCACATGATGCAGGACGAATTGTCCTGCAGCTTTGCGCTGTGGAACTGCATCGGGCAGCCCTCAGACGCCAGGCCCTCGTCGCCCTGATGGCTTGCACGAGGTTGCAAGGGAGTGGGTTTGCGAGTATAGATGGAAGCGGTGATTGCCTGATCAGGCCTGCCCGGCGGCCGCGTGTGAGGTCAACGGCTAGGCGTGGCTGCAGCGTTTTTAAAAAGCAACCAAGCAAGCAAGACATTGCTTGTGCAGGATCCTGGCGAGGCGTACGCATGTCCAAGCTGTCGCGACAGTGTGAGGATCACAACTTGCACCAGCCATGAAGTGTGGCCGCTGCCAGTTCGCATGCGGAGTGCGCCCTTCGCTCACCCAAACCCTTCGCTCACCCAAACCAGATCGCACCTGGCCAGGGCCGCCTTTTAGGCAGGCATAGGAGGAGCAGCTGCCGCGGCACACGCCGTTGCGGCCGCGCACCTCTGTCATTGACAGCTGGGCGGGTTGAGGACATGAATTGGGCAGATGGTCGAGGGCGGGCCGAGGGCAGGTGTTGGTGCACACAAAGTTGTTTGGGGGTTGCCATTTGCCTCGGACGGCGGATGGGGTGAAGTGGAGAAAGCTGGCACTGCAGATGTGACATGACTGCAGGTTGGGCAGCAGGCCCTGTGGGGGCACTGACAGGTCACTTGGGCAGTCGTGCTGCGACCGCCCTACGCCTATTGCAGCAAAGCCGCGACGGCAGTGCGACCACCCCTCACCTTGGCCATCAAGCCGTTCATGGCGCCGATGGGGCACAGGTACCTTTCAGTGAGTTCAGGGGAGGGTCCGGCCCACAACCCTGCCTCGGATTTCTGGGAGATTTGCACCATGCAGAGCGCGCAAGCAGCCAGTACACACATTGCGCGCCGTCACCCACCCTGGTGGCACCCTGCCGCCATCATGGCGGCACGTGATGATCACGTGCACAGCGAGCCGAGAGCAACACCCATGCACACGCGCCGTGCACCGTGGGGCTCCACCTGCAAGCAATATCCCCTCAAATCGCACGCGGCTCTATCTCAGCCGGGCCAGGGCATGCGGCCAGCACAGGGTGCACTCCCCAGGCTCCAGCCCACCTGCACCACATTCTCTTCTCGTACACAACCGAGGTCGCCACCGCGCCCGCCGTGATCAGCGCCAGCAGCGCGGCGCTCAACGCCCCGCTGTGCGGCAGGTCCCACGCCTCCTCCCACACGAGGATGCCCGCGAAGAGCGCCACCATGGCCCAGACGCCATACGACTCCATCTCCTGTTTTGGCCACTTCTTAAGCTGCGCGCCGTGCGCGACGCGCCAGCGCTGCGCGGCCTCCCCCCCTGCGTTCGTTTGGGTGCGCGGAGGGGGGTGGCAGGACCAGGACGAGAAAGCTTGGCAGGTGAGGGATCAGCCCACCTTTGTTTACGTCACAAGAAGACCCGGTGTTTTTGAGTTGCAGCCTGCAAACAACTGACGAGCGAGCACAGGTAAGGATATGCTGGCGGTGCAACAGTGCTTGGTAGGAAAGCAAGGTGCAAGATGTCATCTCTCCCAGACAGGTTCATAGGGACGTTGGGTGCTCGTCTCCTGGGGGTTGACCATTTATCCCCTCCCCTTGTGCTACAGCATGCCCCAAACAAAGTCTGTCATCCTTTGAGGTGCCCTATCTAGGCCCTGCTGATGTGGGCAACCTCCCCTCACCCCCCCAAACCCCGCCCGCGCCCCTTGCCGCATTGGCCGGCCCTGCTCACATATCATGAAGGGGCAGAGGCTGCACCAGACGCGGCCCACAAAGGGGTATGCCAGGTACACTCCCGGCCACCACCATGCCCAGAACATGTTAAGGAGTCCGTTGTGGTCGCGGTCCTGTGGGGGTTGGGGAGAGCCGAGTACATTGGGCCAAGGGGGGCCTGGGTCAGACCATGTTTAAGCTGAGCGAAATCTGCTCATCAAGCTGGGTGGGAGGCAGACGGGGGGAGGCAGACGGGCGGGAGGCAGATGCCTGGGGATGCATGTTCTGTAATTTGGCACGGCCAGCAATGAACGAGGTACGCTTGTGCTGATGGTGCATGTGTCAGCGGGCGCAAGACAGCTCTGGGCAGTGGCGGGCTGGTGGCGGAGCGGGTAGCCGCTTATGGCGTGACAGCTGCGCAGCTGGCACCAGCAAGATAGAGCTTTTGAGCTGCCCGGCTAAAACCTGCAGCAGGGGGCATGCGGGCGGCAATGGGTGTTGCTGGGCAGCGGGCTGTGACCGCCCCGCCATCACCTGGGGCCCAAAGGTGAGGCCTGCCAGGACAAATGCAAAGGCGTACTTGGTGAAGCCGTGGTTGAGGGCCTCGGGCCACGCCTCGCTCCTCAGCAGAGCCCGCAGCCAGGGGGCAGCCTCCAGGAGGTCGATCTGTGTGTGTTTGTGTGTGTGTGTGTGTGTGTGTGTGTGTGTGTGTGCGTGCGTGCGTGCGTGCGTGCGTGCGTGTGTGTGTGTGTGTGTGTGTGTG